TATATATATATGGTATCCCCATCTTGTCTGATACCAAAGATATTTTCAACATATACAGTAGACTTGCGCTTTTATACTGCAGTACAAATATTACTGATATTTCTCAACACTTTTATTTTGTAAATTTTTAATGCATTAATGTTGCATTAATAAATTATGTGCATTTCCTTCACCCAGTATACACAGAAATCATTGATTGATTGATTCTTTCAAACATGCAGAACAGAACAAATGAACAAATGACAACAACACACATAATTACACATATCCAACCAATGCTAATCCAAAATCAGTTTGCTTATACCTATTACATGTTTGAATGGAGTAGGAATAAGTCAGACTTATCCAGACATCATATTATACAAAATTTCATGCATCATTGGCTGCAAGCTCTACATAGATAAAACAGAGTGTTTCCTTAATGCCTTCTCAAATAAATCTTATTCTTGCATATATCTTGTATAACACATTTATATTTATATTTAAACTCCTCAATTCTAGTACTATTTTTCATGTCCACAGTTTAATCATTTTGAACAAAGTAAAAAGATTTGCGTGTATATTTCAGCACAGAAATGAGGTCAGTAGCAGCCGTTCTGCTCAGCAGCTAGTGCTCGCTCTTACAGGTGACAGAGGGACAGTGAGGAGTCACACCTGATCCTGAACGCAGGGTAGAGAGGCTCAGTGAATGTGGTGCTGAAGGTATGGAGGTGCATCAGTGTGTCAGAACAGACTCTGTAGAAGGACAGAGTACCAGCAGGCCAATCCAGATACACTCCAACTCTGACGGGCAAAGGGGAGGCTACAGCATGTACAGTTGTGCCACTGTTCTTGTGGCAAGCAATGAAACCACCGTCAGAGCAGTCTAAGACCCAGGACTGATCGTTTGCTCCAAGCCTGCAGTCCACACCATCTCCTCTCCTTTTGATTTGCCTGTAAGTCACACCTATATCAATCCACCCATCCCAACTGACCTCCCAGTAACTGTGACCAGTGAGACCAGTTGTGCACAGAACCTGTCCCCAGTGGTGAAATCTTGATGAATCATCAGGATATGGCTCGTCCTCCTCCACTGCCATCACCTTCCTGTTGTTGTCAGACAGTCTGAGTTTTCTGTGCGCTGTGTTTGAGTCCAGTGTGAGTTCACAGAAATCTGATGGAGAGAAGACACAGTGCTCCTGTTTTAATCAAACATACTGTTTAAGGTGAAGTATTTTCACCATGTTGTTTTAAGCAGGACTTTCCAAATAACAGTAATTACATTTGATGTTAGGGGTAAAAATACACTTACACTTCCTCGGACCTGGCTTCAGCCTGCAGGCTCCACTGTTGTCCACACTGGAGGAGAAGACACCAAGTCAAATAGAAAATGTGCATTAACACTTGTGAAAGCGTTTTGATGCACGGCTGTGTTACTGCTATGGAAGGAATGATTGGGGGAGCCTCCTGGGCGCCCCCCTCTGGAGCAGGGCTGGATGTTGATACTGATCTCAGTTCAGTTCAATTTGGTTCATGATTCATTTACATCCCATTAATGTTGCATAAAGTATTTCTCAGAATAAACCATGTTGCATTCAAGAAGTGAGCAGCACTGTTGTTTCAAAAAACATACACTTATGTACATTATTTTGAACACATTTCTAATGTTGTGGATTTATTTTTCTTGGTAAATGCACAACTACTAAAACATCACACATCTGTATTTTAGGTACATGTGCAAAATACTTGAGTGGGAATAATAAAAGCGCTGCACCACTAACCAGGTCGCCATTATGGTACATAATGCAATGTCATGGAGGTGGTTAGCATCGCTGAGAGACACCATGTCCTGCTCCATTGTCACTGGATTTATCAGACAATGTGGAAAATCATAGTTATAGTTTGACAAAATATGGTTTCTAGCTTTTCCAGACCTGAGAGTGTCCAGTTTACACCGTGGATCCTCCAGCCGAGCCGACAGCAGCTCCACTCCTGAGGCTCCTGGATGATTGTAGCTCAGGTCCAGCTCTCTCAGGTAGGAGGGGTTGGAGCTCAGGGCTGAGGCCAGAGAATCACAGCCTTTCTCTGTGACCAGACAGCCTGACAACCTACAGCCGCACAAACCAGGTAATGTTAGTACACTCAGATTCAGAAAGATGTATTAACATAGCCCAGTCCAAGAAAACATAAAGGCTTGACCACTTTATTGGAACTGTATTCTGATTTATTCAGTTTTTAAATAGAATCATAAGCATCTTATACCATCCTGGTATTTTGGACAGATGAAGACACAATGGGCCCCTGGGCACAGACATACATATGAAAGACCCCTACACTCGTGCACTAATGGAAGCAAGACTCACAGACTAAACAACAATGAGTTGTAGTCAGTTTGTGTCTGGTTGTAGTTGTTTTGCATCTGTATTTAGCCATTTTGTGTTCATTTGTATTTTTTTTGCATCTCCTTGTTTGTCAAACTGCATCTACTTTTACTACTTTTGTGTCTGTTTTTGTTTTGCATTTTGTAGCCATTTGGCTTTTGTTGGGTTTTTTCTGTCTCTTTATAGTTGTTTTGTGTCTCTTTAGATGTGTTGCATCAATTTTTTTCTCCTTTTGTTGTTTTTTGTAGTCACTTTCCTTCCCAGTTCTCTGGTTTATGGCCCCTGACCCCTTGGGCCCCTGTCACTTTGCCCAGTAGGCCTGTTCAGGTTAAATTGCATGGTGAACCTAAACAGTCGGACACAGGTGCCAGAATAAGTAACACAATTACTATGGCAACCACAGAAACAAAGAAAAAAGAAAGCAATAATGATCTTAAATGATAATTTTCTTAACAGGCTAATGAATCCTGACCTGAGATTCTCCAGTCTACAATGTGGACTCGCCAGTCCACTTGACAGGAGCTTCACTCCCAAGTCCTGCAGATTGTTGTTACTCAGGTCCAGGTCTCTCAGACAGGATGACTGGCTACTGAGAACTGAGGCCAGAGCTTCACAGCTTCTCTCTGACAGGTTACAGTCACTCAGCCTGAAGAAATAATGAGAAAACAAATGGCCTCCACGTTTATGACTGCGTGACCCAGGAGGAGTGAATAATGCCAGCTAGAATGGTCGCTAAAAGGAAAGTTTGCATAGTTCTTTACTATTAACTCCTCTCTTGTAATTGTTTGCAAACCCTTTGTACTTGGGCAGTAGAGGGTTAAATAACAGGCTCGTCATTCCTTCATAGGTTTACACTGAAAAGATGGTTCGCTAATGATCAGCTTTGAAAATTTGGTGTATCTCTGTACTTACAGAGCTTTGTTGGAGGCTTTGACCACAGGCAGCAGCCTCAGAAGAGCCTCCTCTGAAGCAGAGTATTTTTTCAGGTCAAACATGTCCAGATCTTTGTCTGATGACAGTAAGATGAAGACCAGAGCTGACCATTGGGCCGGGGAGAGTCTGTGTGTGGAGAAACATCCTGATCTAATAGACAGCTGGATCTTCTCAACTAAAGAGTGATCGTTCAGCTCATTCAGGCAGTGGAACAGGTTGATGCTTTTCTCTGGAGATGGATTCTCACCAATCTTCTCTCTGATGTACTGGATTGTTTCTTCATTGGTCTGAGAGATACTTTTGTTAGATGGAAGCAGGACTTGTAGAAGACGCTGGTTGGTCTGCAGTGAGAGACCCACAAGGAAGCGGAGGAACAAGTCCAGGTGTCCATTTGGACTCTGTAAGGCCTTGTCTACAGCTGTCTGGTAGAAATGTGCAAGCTCAGGTTTGTCTTGAAACAGCTTAAACAACCAGGTTGATTGTTTCGGGAGCAGACTGACTCCAGAGGAGGTGAAGGTCAGATGGGCATGAAGAGCAGCCAGAAACTCCTGAACAGTCAGATGAATGAAGCAGAACACCCGGTCCTGGTACATCCCTCTCTCTTCTATGAAGATCTGTGTGAACACTCCTGAGTACACGGAGGCTGCTGTGATATCAATGCCACACTCTGTCAGGTCTGACTCATAGAAGATCAGGTTGCCTTTCTGCAGCTGCTCAAAAGCCAGTTTTCCCAGAGACTTTATCATCTTCATGTTCTCTGGACTCCAGTGTGGATCTGTCTCAGACCTTCCATGATACTTGGTATTGCTCAGTTTTAGCTGAACCACCAGGAAGTGGATGTACATCTCAGTCAATGTCTTGGGCAACTCTTCTTCCCCTCCGGTTTCCAACACAGCCTCCAGAACTGTAGCAGTGATCCAGCAGAAAACTGGGATGTGGCACATGATGTGGAGGCTTCGGGAGCTCTTGATGTGGGAGATGATCTTTCTGGCCTGCTTCTCATCAGTGAACCTCTTCCTGAAGTACACCTCCTTCTGTGGGTCAGTGAACCCTCTGACCTCTGTCACCATGTCCACACACTCAGGAGGGATCTGATTGGCTGCTGCAGGTCTTGTGGTTATCCAGAGGCGAGCAGAGGGAAGCAAGTTCCCCCTGATGAGGTTTGTCAGCAGCACATCCACTGAGGCAGACTCTGTGACATTAGTCAGGACCTCGGTGCCGTAGAAGTACAGAGGAAGACGACACTCGGCCCGACCGGCAAAGATAATGGATGTCCTGGTTGGATTTGCCTTCAGCCCAGTCCAGGGTGAACTTCTGGGTTAATACTGTTTTCCCAATGCCAGCCACTCCCTTTGTCATCACTCTTCTGATTGGTCCATCTCTTTCAGGTGGGGGTTTAAAGATGTCTTCATGTCTGATGGTTGTTTCTAGTCTGTCTGGTTTCCTGGATGTTGTTTCAATCTGTCTGACCTCATGTTCCTCATTGACCTCTCCAGCCCCTCCCTCTGTGATGTAGAGCTCTGTGTAGATCTGATTCAGAAGGGGTGGGTTTCCTGCTTTAGCAATTCCCTCAAACACACACTGGAACTTCTCCTTCAGAGTAGATTTGTGTGTTTCCTGGCTTATGTCAGCAGAAGCTCCTGATTGGACAAAAAAAGACTGAGCTCAATGAGAGAATCTTACTTTAAACATGTAGCGAATCCAGTGACAGTGGGACAGGACATGGTGTCTCTCAGCTACACCCCCCTCCATGACCTTCTGCTGCCTACAGCCCTCCTGTTGTTCTTCCAGCTTCTCCACCCTGTGTTGTCAAGGTACGGTCTGTAAATTAGCCCTGCCTGCCACCTAGCCAAGGTTAGGAGAAGGGTTTTTCCACTCACCGGAACTCTTGTCAAACAGCCACAGAGGAGCTCTGGGCAGCTAAAGGTCTGAACCAGTGGCTGCCAGAGCGAAGAGGTGGCGTCTTTTGTACAGAGAGAGTGGGACAAAGAAAGAGCAACAACCAGGGTTAACATTGGTTTGGCTGTTTGACATGGAGAGGGTTAAAAGCAGCCAGAGGACTCACACTAGATTCAGATGTGGTGTTCTTCCTTCTGGGTGTGTTAGCAGCTAAAGCTAACCTGCTTGTTTTGGTAGCATTAGCCACCCAGCATGGTCAGGATTTTACCTTTGTGTTGAATTAATATTACTTTAATTTGGGAGTAACTGGAGCTTTGTGTAACTTGAGTGCTTTGTGTCACATCAGCAGTAACCAGAGTGTTCTACTGGACTGACACATTTACTGCTAATGCTAGCTTTAAACTGGAGGCTGTATTTGGTACAGTTTGTCCCAACCAGGCATCCATAGTTCAGGAAACAGAACAGGAGGGGCAAAGAGCGGCTTATGGTTTCAGCATGTTTTGAGTCTCACTAGTCCATCTAGGTTGAATTTAAATTAGGTAGAGTAGCTTTAAGTGTGTTCCTTTATCTTTCTCTGCTGTAATTGATACTTCACAGCGACTAATACTAAATTCAGCACAGCTAAAGATTTAAACATATCCATTTTTGCTACTTCTGTTTGGCTTTTTTCCATTAAATTAGCTGTCCAAATCCTCTTACTGCTCTGCAGAGAGTCAGCCAGCTCCTCCTGCTTCATTTTCCTCAGGAAGTTCAGGGTGATCTTCAGAAATGCCTCTTGGCAGCTTCTCCTCTGCTCTTCATCTTCAGCATCAGCTATCTTCTCATCCTCATCTTTCTCACCTGGGTAGCGACTTAAAATCCTCTGTAGTCTCTTGAGCTCATGCTTCACAAACATGTTAATGTTCTCCTCAAGAAGCTGCAACGAAAACAGTGCTATTTAAACATTAATGCTAAAATGTTCAAAGACAAACTGATAAAACTATGAGCTGAATGTTAGTTGAGCTGAAGTGCACATACAGACCTTAAATATGGAGTCCAGATCATTTGCATCCAACAGGACTGATTGACCTGTGTAGACCTCAGACTTCTCATCAGGGTCACCACTATGAAGGAATAGGTATTAGATCACATTGGAAACCATTTCATAGCATTTCCTGAGCTCGCCTTTCTTGCTATTACCTAGTAATACTCTTACCTTAATCTAATTTAGACCTGTTTAGAAATATTTTAAAAGCAAATATTCTATAATTAACAAACAGACTTCCTGTTTGTAAAAGACAGACTGTGGGGGGCGGCTGTGGGTCAGGAGGTAGAGCAGGTCATCTCCTAACCAGAAGCCGATTCCCGGTTTGTCCAGTCCACATGTCGAAGTGTCACCGATGTGTGTGTGTGTGTGTGTGTGTGTGTGAGAATGTGTGAGTGCTTGGGAGTGTGAATATCTGACTGGCCAAATAGTGTGAAAATGCTTTGAGTATATTGCAATGCACAGAAAAGCGTTATACAAGTATAGGACCATTTACATACTGCATGCAGTTCTTCTCAAGCTATATAGTGTTTGTATACATTTGTCTGTACATACAATCAGCACAACAAAATTACTGTATGTCCACAGCTGCAGAAAATGGCATCAAAAACTAGTTAAATAGTACTGAGTCTTGGTGTCAACATTAAGTACGTATGAGGAGACTAATGAACCTTTTTCAAGTCCTCAAAGGAAAATGAAGACAGTAACATGCTGCTTACTCATGTTCAGAGAAAAGATGGCCTTCTTTGAAGTTGACCAGGCCTCCTATCGACCGATCACTGCCACAGCTGGGCTCAGGGGATTCTTGTCTGTTGTGGTGGATCCTGGTTGACAGACAATTATACACACAGATACACATTAAGTTGTTAAAAGTGAACATATTTATACATCAGTTCAGCAAGATGAGAAAATTAATTGCTGAAGATTAACACATTTCCTGAATGTTAGAGCCAGAATCCCATCTTTTTAGATTCAGATGGTATAATTTGTAAAGTTTTAGTATAGTCACATTTTTTTCAATAAAAGATTCAGCTTACTTGTCTTCAGAGGAAAGATGACCATCTTTGAAGTTGACCAGGCCTCCTATCGACCGGCTACTGTTCATGGACTCACATCTGGGATCAGAGGAACCTGGTTTCTCATGGTGGATCCTGGTAGATAGACAGTGACACATACAGAGGCAGTTACATGGGTTGTGTTGTGTCAAACTCAAATGGATACCTAGTACTGGGTTTCTGGTGTGCAAATGAAAACGGTTTAAAATGTGCAACAACACCTGGAGGTTTTATAACAAGGGTTTGATGCCAATTCAACCACTTAATGCAAACCCTAAACCATGGGCTGGTGTGAAGAGCTGGTGGTTTGGAAAATGGAGATTTTACTTCTCCAGTGCTCATGAACATAAGATAACCTTATTGTGTTGACACCTAATAGAGACCGATGAAAAAGATTTTACAACCCTAATAAAGTAAAGTCAAAGTCTGAGCGTTACTCCAGAATCAGTCACAAGAGATATATTTCACTCCAAAGTCCACTTACTGTGTCACACTGAACTGCAGAGTCTATCTCAGGCTAGAAAACATGAATAACAAATCTTATTCTGGTTAAATCAGTGGATATGGTACCTTTCCATGATGTAAATAACCAGCAGCCACACGGGTGAGATACAGCAGACTAGAGAGGAAAGAGGAAGGTTAACATCATCAGTGTATTATCCATGTATTTAATGGAAATGACGACAATGACAGGGAAAAATCCAAAAGTCAAAGGAGAATTAAATCATAGACTAATTTAAGAAGCATACAGTTTATGTATTATTCAATACAAATGTTTAGCTTCTGATGAAGACGAATCTGTAGAGGCTGTAATGACAAGAATTCCAGCTGAGCCGTACT